AAAGTTTCAGACTAAGATGACAATGAGTATAAAATACATCATTATTTTATGTGGTAGTAAGAAAAAAAAATGCTGTCAGTCACACAACTACATGAATTGTAAGACGTATCTCAATTTTAGGGATGCAAGAGGGAAAGGGAAAATCTACCTACTTACCTACGTAGCCACGTACGTATCTACACACACAGCTAATTAGACATTTGTTTTCTATATATGTATGCATGTTTACCTATATAACTTATAAGCATGTGCTTTAATATGTGTCTTAGAATTAGCTAAATGAGGGCCTCCCTGGTGGTGCAGGGGGTTGGGACGCAGCCTATGAAGCTGTCCGCAGACTCTGCAGCACCAGTTCGATCCCTGGCCGTCCAGGGAGCAACCCACATGGCACAGCAGACCTTTCCTGACTCGCCCGCTGCTCCCCTCAGCAGTGTGCTCCCCTCTGCCTGTTCTGTTCCCCACTCTGTCTCTGGTGGGTCCTCTCACCCGCCGCACCTCTGGCCTATGCCCCAGCTCGTGCATGCATAAATAAATTTTTAAAAAAAGTCATTAAAAAAAGAATTAGCTAAATGAAATATATCATATTTGAAGAAAAGTTGTTGACCCTGCCTGTTTTTCTTACATTAGTAGTAAAAAAACAAAGACACAAAAATGTTTGAAAAGTTCAACGTATTAAGAATCTAACACAAGAAAAGTATCTTGATATGGAGGCCCAGATGGTGGAAGTATAGTAAAAAATTAGGCTGATCAATAATTCTCAAAAATGTTGCAGATTAACTGAGAAATCGATCATTTGTAATTGATGGATTGAGCAATTAGTTTTTGTAAGGCATCACAATGGGGATAGTACTGTGAATAAAATCAGAATCCTTGCACTTCAGACACAAACTGTCTTGAGGTTCACAGAGTTAATAAAACAATCACAGACATCGATGAATGATTATAAATGAGATGGGTGATATGAAGGAAAGGAACAGGACCTAGGAATACCTACAGGAAAAAAATCTGGCCTAGATTGTGTGGGGGAAGGTGAGGGGTGAGGGGAGACAGGGAACACATTCCTTAAGAAGCAGACTTTGAGGTGATATCTGGAAGTAATGGGAAAGGATGGTGGGGTTTGTCCCAGCCAGAAGTAATTATGAGATGAGAAAGCAGAAGTCATACTACACAGAGCCTTGCAGGCAACTAAGTGTTAGTAAGACAGGTTGAGAAGGAAATAAGCATGGTGCTTAGCTTAAGAACAGACAAAGCTATTGCAAGTTCTGATAAAAATTAGTAGCTTAAGCTGTGGTGATGGCCGTGGAAACCAAGATCAATGAGTTCAAGAGATATTCTGAGTTTAACAAGTCCACATATATGCTAATGAACTGGAAAAGGGACAGGAGTAGTTAGACACTGTTAGGTTTTCTGACTTTGTGCAATGGGAAAAACAATGAAAGAGGCCCTATTTGGGAAAATATGGGCAAAGAAGGTGCGGTACAATGTCATGATGTGGCCCAAACATGCTGAGTATGAGATGCCAGTAAGAGATCCAAATGGAAGTGTTTATCAGGCAATTAGGTATGTGGGTATAAAATTCAAAGGAGTGTCTAGGACACAAAAAAGCCTAAGACCAAATGGTGAGAACTCTATACTGACGTGAGACTGGCTGGAGGGGGGAAAGAAGCCTTGGAGTTCTCTTATTTCCTTAACTCAGTACCTATATGTTCTTTTTTTTTTTAAGATTTATTTATTTATACCTCATACAAGAGCTGGGGTACAGGCCGGAGATGCAGGGTGTGAGAGGATTCACCAGAGACAGAGTAGGGAACAGAGCAGGCAGACTGTCGAAATACACTGCTGAGGGGAGCAGTGGGCGAGACAGGAGAGGTCTGCTGTGCCATGTTGGTTTCTCTCTGGCCAGCAGGGGATTGAACTCGTGCTGCAGAGGCTGCAGATTGCTTCATAGTGCGGTGCTTAACCCCTTGTGCCATAGGCTGCCTCCAGCTCTAAAGCTGGAAGAATCTTCATTTCTACTTGAGCTAAATTAAAAAATATGTTCATGTTGTCCCAAGCTTGAACTCTGAATGTTTTTCAAAGAAACATGTTATTTTGGTTAATGAACCAGTATTGTATTTTGTATCTCTCAGGAGAAAAACGTGTGTGTGTGGGTGTAAGGGGAGTAGGAAAAGAGACTTGGGGGTGCTGTAAGCCATATGAAGTTTGTGAATATAAATGGAATATCATCATCTATAAGCTTGAGAATGCCTATATCATTAGTTCTGAATCATGATGTTAAAATTACATACAGCAAGTAAAAGAACTCATATGCATTTTAAAAATATTAACAGTAGCTCAGATCAGCAACTTAATCAGGATAATCCTATGAGCCTGTGCCTCTAATTCATTGAATATATCTACTAAGCAAAAATTTTGTACAGATTAGAAATTTATGAAGATAACTTACAGTATTTAGAACACAAGAAATAGTTACTATTAATTTCAAAATATTTTAATATAAAATTTTACCTCTTTTGTACTTATATACAAGTACATATAACAAATGTGCATATAACTCCATTATAAGGAAGTATACAAAAATAAATGTAAGCATTGCAAACTTATTCTTCTCTGTCTACACCTTTCCTATGTTGCCTGTTCTCTTGGAAATTATCAAGTGTAGTCAAAGAACATTAATAACTCTGCACTGCTCTCTAGTGGTACATAAAGAACATAGTTCATTACAGGCTTTGCTTTTTAAAGCCCTTTCAAAGAAGAAATCTAAGAAATCCAGTAAGAGAAAGTATATAGTGTGGGCATAATTTCTTAGTCTGCTATCAGTGAGCCATGGCAAAGAGTCACTCACCATCACCACTACCAACTTATTACTTGAACTACAAATATTTCTCATAGAAATATAAAAGCACAAACTGATGCTTGTCGTGAAAGCAAATTCTTATCACTTATTAAAGCCCATGATCTATTTATTGCATTTTATTTAGTGTTAGAAGTATTGTAGTACTAAATGTCTCAATTCTTACAAGAAAAAAATCATTTTCTGTGTGCTAAGATATACTCTTATTTGGCTAATAATTTTAATTCATCAAAAATTTGTATCATTGTAATAGCCTTACAACTTGGTAAGGGTAGTTGGAAAATGCCTTATTATTTCAGTAAGGCTGAAATAAATGAAATCACCTATATCCTTTTGGAAGTTACTGATGAACTGTATACCGAATAGATAAACTGCTTGCTCAACAAGCGTTTAGTGTGGGATGGGGCTAAGAATAAGACTATTTAGGACCTCCCTGGTGGTGCAGCGGGTTGAGCGCAGCACTGTGAAGCTGTCCGCAGCCTCTGCAGCAAGGGTTCAATTCCCAGCTGGCCAGGGAGATACCCACATGGAGCAGCAGACCTCTCCTATCTCGCCTGCTGCTCCCCTCAGCAGTGTTTTCATCTGTCTGTCTGTTCTGCTCCCCACTCTGTCTCTGGTGAATTCTCTCACCCTCCTGTGCCTCTGGCCTGCATCCAGTTCTTATATAAATAAATAATTTTTTTAAAAAAAAAGACTATTTAACAAAAACAATTATAAGAACAATAAGAAGAAATTTAAGAAGAGAATCTTTTCTCATTTTATATAGCTTGACACAAAATGTGTTATTAAATTCTTTATATCTTATCTCTCCAAAAATGTGGGCAATTTTGAAAAGACAGAGTCACATCAGTGAAACAAAAAGAACAAATGAAATCTAAGAGAAATGAAAATGCAAATATAGTAATCAGTTTGCTGACTAAGTTACTGGTTAGTATTGAGTTTCAACTTTGGATCTACGCTTCCTAGAAGGCTTAAGGCTCCCCTGATAGTGTGCATTTCTTTCTGATGGCCGACTCATAATACATTTTCGTTCTGACTGCAGCACTGACTTAAAACATGAATTCCTGAATTACTAAGATAGCAAATTCACACAGATGGAGGTTAAAAGTGTCAAAGGGATATAAAGGATGGTGGTAGGGGAAAAAAAAAATCCCCCAAAAAATAAGCAAATCGAAACAGCAGCATGTGCCACGGGAGAAATATGAAATTTCATTTAATAGTGTGGCTTTTATTGGGCACTAAAAATTTTATAATTTAACATGTTTCCTTTTTTCTTCTATCAAGAAGCATAGAGTCAGGGCCTCCCCGGTGGCACAGCGGTAGAGCGCTGGGTTGCGAAGCTGCCCGCGGCCTTTGCGGCGCCGGTTCAGTCCCCGGCTGCTCCCCGGCCACCGGAGGAGGGTCCCACATGGCGCGCAGACCTCTCCTGCCGCCCGCTGCTCCCCTCAGCAGTGTACTTCGGTCCTTCTGCCTGCTCTGCTCCCCGCTCTGGCTCTGGTGAATTCTCTCACCCTCCCGCGCTTCTGACTGTACCCAGTGCATGTATAAACAAAAACAAACAAACAAACAAATAAATAAATAAAAACATGCCTCTATTAAAAAAAAAAAATCTTAAAAAAAAAAAAAAGAAGCATAGAGTCAGTTGAATGCTTAATGAAATCATTCATTTGTTCCCTTACTCATACATTCAATCAACCTCAGGCTACTTAACACGTAAAATAAAAAAAGAGTAGATTCTATTTGTTCAGTTTTTTATTTGTTTTGCTTTGCATTTAAGAGGTTCTAAATGAATGTAGTTCACATTTAAGCTGTTTGACTTAAATGTCAGAGCAGTGAATAGGTAACGTCTTCAATTATGTCTCTCAACCAGACTTAGGATAAGAGTTGAACATTAAATAATGAAAAATATATAGCTTTTAATTAGAGCCTGAAATCTATTATTTTCATATATATATTTTATATTCATTTGGTAAGTTAATGTTCTTTGAGGGTAAAGATCTAATTTCCTTTATATTTTCACTAAGAAATGGTCATAGCTAACATCCGGTTAATAGCAAAAATTTACTGATGAAGTAGGAAAACAAAACTTGCCACTAGTAGTTTTGTTTTGATTTTTGGCGAAGGGTTATTTTTGTCTTTGTTTTACCTTGTAACAGTCTCCTCCAGGAATAATTTCTTGAATATATACCAGGGGACCTTCATTCCTGTTAATTCCTCCTAGAATCTTCAGACCAAGGCCTGCTTCCTTAGTAACTGTAATCATCTGAAATGCAGGATCCCTAAAACAAATTAGCAAGTCCAGGTTAGTCTAGAGATCTGTATCTCCTTTTTCTTTAAACTACTTGTTTAATCAAACTCTCAGATTCAGACAACTCAAAATACATTCAAAAGCAATCAAATGAATTTTTTACCTGTATTTTTTATATTTTATCTATAAAACTAAAACATAAAAGAAATTAAAGCTTTACATAAATCTTATGTTTTAGAAGTAGAATAAAGAAAAGTTCTTTTAACAATTTATTTAAATAAATCAAAAGATTTATTAAAGTTGACAAAAAACATTTGCTTTTAGCTGATTTTTAGATTATACTGAACAATTCCAAAACTAATATTTAATGAATTAGGTATGCATTTAAAAGACATGTTTCTAGCTATTTAAATCAAAATAAATATGAGCTCCATTTGAATCTAAAAAAAAAAGCTTATCCTTTTAATTTAGAAAGAGTGAATCTCTAATTCACCAGAGCCGGAGCGGGGAATAGAACAGGCAGACTGACAAAGAAATACATTGCTGAGGGGAGCAGCGGGCGCAGCAGGAGAGGTCTGCGCCCCATGTGGGACCCTCACCAGCTGGGGATTGAACCAGCGCTGCAGAGGCAGCAGGCAGCTTCGCAGCCCAGCGCTCAACGGCTGCACCACCAGGGGATGCCCACGGAACATCAACCAATTCTTGATAGGCTGTCAGATTGTAAGCCCATATAGGAATGAAGCCTAGATATGCCACAGTTGAAGGGAAGAAGGGAAGGTGCCTCATTAGCAATTCTTTCCATTAACTTCTTAATCCCTCTATATGTGAATTTCCTTCAGTGGGCTCAGAAATAATCCCCACCACATATTATTGTGGATCCCTCTTTTTCTAATTCAGGGTAACTACTATTAACACAGCTGTGTATTTACTTACTAAGATCTTATTTTAAAATTTCCCTGTTGTTTCACATATTACAGGTCAAGTTTTAGCGAAACATTTTTACATTTTTTTAATCTCACACCTGAAAACATAAATTGACTACGGAAATTCTAATCCCTTTAAACCCAGCAGCTTCAAAGCAAATAGTCATGATCCCTTAAGAGGATAAATATGCCCATTTTAATTAAAAATTAAATTATGTGACTTGTGCAATTTTTGCATCTGTATTGTGAGATCTATTTATATGCCCCATGATTTTCACTAATGAAAAACTGAAAAGGAATATAATTATTTAGTACCTATTAATTGACACATTCCTCAAAGATCTGTACTTTGTCTACAAAGGAATTTAAGCTATGAGAAATGAAGTCCTGGTACATGCTATAACATGGACAACCTTAAAAACAATGTGCACAGTACAAGAATCAGTTACAAAGGGGCATATATTGTATGATTCTATACATATGCCAAGTCCAAAATGGACAAATCTATGGAGTAGAAAGTAGATTATTGCTTGCCTAAGTATAGGGCAGGGATAGGGAAGCTGAAAGGAATGAGTGATGACTTCCTTTAGCGATGACAGAAATGTTTAAAATTGATTAGGGAGATGGTTGATCAATGTGGTGAATATATTAAAAACCACTGAATTGTATACTTTAATTGGGTAAATTGCATGGTCTGTAAATTCTATCTCAATAAAGTGGTTATAAAAAAAAAAAATTCCCTGTTGTTAAGGATTTATATGAACCATCTACCCCACTTCTGGGTATTTAAAGAATACAAAAATACTAATTTGTGCTCAATAATTTATGTTCACTACAGTGCTATGTATAATAGGCAAGCTATGGGAATACCTAAGAGTCATGGATGAATAGATAAAGAAAATATGGTATATATACATAATGGAACACTTCTCAGTCATAAAAAAGAACAAATTCTTGCCATTTGTGACAACAGGGATGTGTTGTCACATGTGTTCTTGCCATGTGACAACATGGACCATATAGTTAGTATATTACACCTAAGGAAAATAAGTTAGTTTGAGAAAGACAAATATCACATGATTTTACTCATACGAGGAATACATAAACAAAAACAAAACAAAACAAAACAAATTCATAGATACAGAAAACAGACTGGTGGTTACTAGAGGGGAAGAGGGTTGGGTAAAAGTATAAAGGTGTCAAATATATAATAACCCCTAGATTTTTAGTGGTGAATATGCTGTAGTGTATACAGATGTCAAACTATAAAATTATATACTTGAAGTCACTTATATAATGTTTAAAACCATGCTACCTCAATTTCAAAAACAGTAACATATCACTCACTTAAATTTTGCTACTCAAAATAATTGCTCTGCTCAGCTGTAAGAATTAAAGACAGGCAGAAATACCATTATTCACCTATCATATCAACATAAATTTAAAACTTGAACAATATATTCTGATGACAAGGCTGTGGGGAAAGAGGTACTTCTTGATATTGTTGGTGGGAATACAAAATGGCATAACCTCTAAAGAGGGAGTCTGGTAATCTCTAAACTTAGTCCCTGATCTGGAAATTCTATTTCTAGAAATCTATCCCAAACATATTCAGACAAAAACTATGAAATGACTTGTATGCTAAGTTATTAATTTTGGCATAATCAGTAATTACCAAAAATCTCAAACAATCAAATGGCCATCAAAAAGGTACTGACTGAATAAACTATAGTACATACACACACTAGAACACTATACTATGCAGTTATAACAAGGTAAAAGGAAGATCTTTATATCATTAGGGTATAATTTGAAGTTTAAAAAAAGACAAGGTTGGGCCTCCCTGGTGGCACAGCGGTTGAGTGCTGGGCTGCGAAGCTGCCCGCAGCCTCTGCAGCGCTGGTTCAATCCCTGGCCACTGGCAAGGGTCCCACATGGCGCGCAGACCTCTTCTGCCACCTACTGCTCCCCTCAGCAGTGTACTTTGTCACTCTGCCTGTTCTGCTCCCCACTCTGACTCTGGTGAATTCTCTCACCCTCCCGGGCTTCTGTCTGTACCCAGTGCTTGTATAAATAAATAAATAAATAAATCCAAAAAAAAAAAAAAAAAAAAGACAAGGTTGGCCTAGGGGTTAAGACTCAGCTCTACCACTACAATATACTGAGCTCAAGGCCTGGCCCAGGAGCTAACCCACGTGGGACAGCAGACCTCTGCTGTCTCGCCCTCTGCTCCCCTCCTCAGCGCATTTCAGTGGATCTGCTTGCTCTGCTCCCCACTCTGTCTTTGGTGAATGCTCTTACTGCCCCCTCTCCCTGCACCTCTGGCCTACACCCCAGCTCTTGTATGCATAAATAAATAAAATGAATCTTAAAAAGACAAGGTCAAAAAAGTATATATAACATGATTCCTTATTTTGTGAAGAAGATGCTAGAAAGTGGAGCTTGGATGTTTTGGAACACTTGCCTTAGTTGTATGTATGATTCCCATGGACTTGATTTTGCCCTAAGTGGCTTGATTTTGCCCTTGTGCTGCCCCAGAGAATAAAGCTATTCAGCACCAAGGCACAGAGCTCTGTGCATGGAGCTCTCTGTACATACACACAGCTGGACCTGGCTGTGGCCCTTGGAGACAGAAGCTTTCCGGTGCTTCCAGGAGCATGCATCAGAGAAAGACCCTGAGTTTAACTGGCCTGACATCCTCCAGGGAAACCTGTGAACCTGAGCCAAAAGGTTGGTGTAAACTTGTTTTCTTCATAAGCAATGGTAGAAAAATATCTAATGTACAGAAGAAACTTGTACACAATAAATAACTTTGAGAAAAATATATAATTATTACTGTGTTTACATATGTATATATAAAAATGTACAAATTTATACACACACACACATATATATATATTTGCTTATAGAAAAGGAAGCCCTAAAAAGGAACCAAGAAAAAAAAAAGATTACCTATAAGAGAAATGAAGGCAGAGTAAAGGAGAAGAATGAAAGCAAGACTTTTCTGAATAAACATATGTGAGCTACATTTTTCAAAATGGTCACCCATTCCTGTTTTCATTGCCTTGGAATGTGACTTTACTGTTTCTTCCATTAAAAAGTAAGTCTGTATCTGTACCCCTTGAATTTGAACTTGGCTTTCTGTAATGCCTCAGCTAACAGTATACCAGCAAATGTGAGCGGAACAAATACATGAAAATATATGTGCTTGTTACTGGAACCCATTCTGCCACCATGTGAAAAAGTTTGAGTTTGTTTCCTGGAGGGTGGGCCCAGACTGAAAGAGACCTCAGTGATCCAGCCTTCCCAGCAGAGGCCTGGGACTCTCCTACACCATCTGGTGCAGACCTGAAGAACTGCTCAGCAACCCACAGAATCATGACAAAGAAAAAATGATTATTGTTTTAAGGTACTTTGTGATGGTTTATTACTCAGCAAATGCTAACCTTACTTTTATATATTTTTTATACTGGAATTGTAAAATATTTTATATACGCAAAAATATCAGGTCAAATGTTTAAAAATCAGTCTCTATTTGTAATTATAAAGAGAATATGGAATTTATCTCATACTTTAATTCATATTGAAAGGTGTTTTTTGTGGAAAGTAATTATTGATCAATTTTCTCATTATTGCTGTCTGAGACAAGTTACATACAATTTTCAACCAAAAGTTCCTTACTAGCCTGTATATTTCAAACAAGAATAGTTCAGAACATACTAAATTAATTTAAAAATTACTTTTTAAGCAGATCAGATGATACCACAGCAGCTGCATTTTTATTCATGGTTTCACCAAAGCAGCCTTGTCTTGAACAGCTGTATAATTGAAGATCTTGATGGTCAGTCTAGAAATTCTTCTTTTCCTATGATTGGAGAAGTAGAAAATGAATTATCATGTCAATTACATTTGATTTCAACTATGCATAAAAATATATATACCTAGTACATGAACAGTATGTATCTGTGTACAGATAGATATTAGATCTATTTTATAGATTTTGGGCTATGGCATTTTAGTCATTGCTGATATGTGAAAAATGCAGTGGCAGAGAGAAAATGAGTAAGTTGTCAGACTACCTCTATATTATTATCAATATCTATATAACATGTGTATTTTCTGGCAGAAGAGAAAAATACAGTTAACCTTTAGGTAACATGATAGCTTCCACAATTAGTGACCTTAAAAAACACATTAAAAAAAAAAGAATGAGAAAGATGTCTCTTTCCTCATACTCAAAAGAATGAGAAAAATGAAGATATATCTGCAAAATAATTATACAGTACACTGTTGAACAAAAAAATTCCTATTGTCTTACCATCTATCTTGTAGAACTTCCTGCAGATACTATATTACTCTGATTCATATTACTCCACCACCTTCTTAAATATTTTCCTATGGAAAAAAAGATATAATTTTAATGCCTCATATAGCTCTAGTGTGAAAATTATGGAGACTGGTATAATTTCAATTAATTAAAAATACTGTATTTGAAGGGTAGTTTACCACCTCAGCACAAGAAATATGAAGTACAGAAATTTTAAGTTGGAAAACATAGTAGGATCATTTAGCACAAATCTCCTATTAAGGAAGTGAGTAGCTAGACTTAGAAAGATTGTATTTCCCATACAAATGAGTAAGTCTGTGGTGGTTTTCCTACTAAAACTCCAGCTTTGGAGCTTTGAGCAAGGACCTTGACATCAGAGAGACCTGGATTCTAATCTGCATTTCCAGATGTGGCCAAATTGCAATTTATTCATAGGGAAAGTATGTACACCTTGAGTACAGTGATGGTCTACAAATGTATATATCACAACTTACCAAAACATCTCCAAAATTACAGACGTTATTTCACGACAGAACAGCAAGATGGTGTTGGATACCCAATAATCTAGATTCTATGATTGACAAAGTAAAAATGCTTACTGTTTACAGGTTTACTGGCACTAGTATTTAAAAAGTACAAGGTACATTTTATAAAGTTAGACCTACAGATTTTATTTTAGCTTTATACCTGAAGAGGGGGAAAAGAAAAAAACAGCATTTAGAAACTGTACTAACTTGTATACCTTATCACAATGGAGATTCTCCAAGATAGCATTAGCTATTTATATAATCTTAAATTTGTTTCAGAACATTGGCAAAATCAAGAATGACTCCCTTCTCTGGGCTAGACTTTACTTAACTGATACTTTTAAAATGCCTGAAAGTTTAAGGAAATCAAGATACAAGATGAATCAGAGAGTTAATTTACTGTCTCCTTTATTTTGTACCCAAAGGCAATATTCCTGCCTCTGGTGCATTTTTTTTTCCCCCCAAGAATCTAAACAATTCAGTAACACTGCTCATTTGTCTTGGGGGGTGATGCACAGTGTCTGCCAGTAACAGAGTTCAACTCTGTGTGAAACATGGGAAAACTGCTTCAAAGGAGGAGCCCTAGGGCTTCTCGAAGCATCAGGGCTTCATCAAAGTAACAGCTCAGAGCTCTCAGAAGTTTCCTTAGACTAGCTGACTGCTATCCCCTTGCTTTCATTTGGACACACATCCACCAAACATTAACTTGGTACAATCACATGCAGAAACTATGGTAAGTGCCCGTGACACTGTGGTGAACAAGGCACGGTCCCTGCTTTTAGGGCATTTATGCCTAGTGTTGGAGAAAAACAAGAAAAAAGGACACAACAAAGTGGCCTAGATTTCAGATACTCAAAGATGGTATGACTGAGTTGACTGTACAGAGGATTGGGTAGTGGTGTGTAGCTAAGATCCAAATAGTAAGTCAGCCAGGAGAAAAAGTATTCCAGGCAAAGAAATTACAGGACAGTATTACAGGACAGAAAGAAATGTGCCTGGAGCATGGTATGTGATGAGAGAGAAAGATAGCAGATGAAGATAAATAGGCATAGTCTAGATAACCTAAGGTCTTATGAGCCATGGAAAGGAATTAGGATTTTTGTTTGATCTTACTTCATATAACCTCACTATTCTCAGAAGACCTGAATTTGCCTTGGCCTTGTCACTTACCTTTCATCCACTGAGGTTAGGCGCTCCTCCTTCTTCTTGGTTTTCTGTTTTTGCCTTTAACTCTGCTTATTCCAGATAGCCTGACACCGTGTTAGACTAAATTATGTCAAAATGTCCTCTGTGCGTGTGTGTGTATCTGTGTGTGTGTAATATAAAATGAAAATGCAAAACTCCTTATTAAAAAAGATTACTAGGAATTTCAAGAAAGTGACAATAGAGCATTAAACCAACAACAAGGGCCATCAAAGTGCAGGACCCTTGTGCACTTGCACAGGCCAGGAACCCATGAAGCAGGCACTGATGGTGATAAACATAACTTGAAAAAAAATAAATGCCTCTATTGATGTCTGATTTTGATTTTATTTCATCTTATCTGTCAATCATATAAACTTAGTCATCTTTAAATACAGCAGCTGCTCAAACCATGCGGCTTAAAGGAAGCTGCCAGGAAATACAAAATTACATTAATCAAGACTTACTGAGGCAACTTCATCTCATTAGTGCGCACTATGTTGGAAAACCGTGATTTTCCGGCTTGTTCTCGAGCAAACTACAGTTCATTTGTTCTTACTATTTACTCAGGTGCATACTTTTCTTCTTTTAGGTACAAGGAAAGTATTATAATAAATAGTTACCAACTGAATAGTTGTTAGTACTGCTAGAAAAAGTGTTAGCAATTTCACAATAACAAATGGATCCAGTACCTTTATTAGGAAAATAGACAGCTAAGAAATACTGCTCATTGATGATCATACTATGATTTAAGTTGCAATTTCCTTAATTTATATTATGCATTAAAAATACTAAAAAATATAATCACAAACCAAATATTAAAAATACGTATGTGTCTTCAAAATTTTTGAAAACCAATAATCAATCAGATAAAAAAAAAACTTTCCATTTTTCTTCCTTTCCCTTCACTCATTTTGCTCATCCTCAACTCCCAAAATGATTCCTATGAAAAAGCAAATATCTTACCTACTACGTAAAATCAAACATGATCATAGCTAATTAGAAAGGGTTCATAGGTTTAATAATTTGCTGCTAAAGAATATTACAGGGCCTCCCTGATGGTGCAGCGTTTGAGCTCTGGACTGCAAAGCTGCCCACAGCCTCTGCAGCCCCCAGCGAGGGTCCCACATGGCGCACAGACCTCTCCTGTCTCGCCCGCTGCTCTCCTCAGCAGTGTACTTCATGAGTCTGTCTGTTCTGCTCCCCACTCTGGCTCTGGTGAATTCTCTCACCCTCCCGCGCTTCTGACCGTACCCAGTGCTTGTATAAATAAATAAATGAATCTTTAAAAAAAAAACTTAAAAAAAAAAGAATGATATTACAAATTAATGGTGCCAAGTCAGCAATGTCAGTCTAACACCTGATATTTTAAGATCATAAGCGACACATTTACCTGCAGAATAGACTTATATTAGCCTTGCCCTGAGGTGCCCTATTCCATTCATTGTAGAACCTATTACTTAGTGTTATCATACTGATTTATGCAATATGGCAACCACACTCAGACTCACAAGAACTGCAGTCAACACAACTTTACTGCAATCAAGATGATTGTACTTTGGAAAGGAATTGTTTCATTTGCAGTTATAACACAAAATAAGAGACTAAGACAAACTACTATTACTGACATATTTATAAGATGACCTGATGATACTGGAATGGATGCAACCTGAAGAAAAAGAGTGGATGGAGGAAACCTATTATTGGCTTCAGTAACAACATTTGTATGGGCTTGAATCTATGCTGAAATTTCAAATACAACATGTTTTGTACTGATAGAGCTGATAATCTGGCATAAGAAATGAGTTAGATACAGAAGAAAAGCATTTTCAGACATTTTCATTCGCATATGAATACATGTCTAGAATCATAGTATCTGGGCATTTTCATGCCAGAGAAGAAAAGAATCATAAGACATTTGAATTTTATTAGTGTTGCCATTTTCTGGCCCTGTGACCACAAGTTAAACAATTACTCAGTCAAGGTGACCATTGTTATTCACCAGGACTATTGCAATTGTCTCCTAAATGTTGTATCTCCATTTTGCCTCCCTTTTAACATAATTATAAAAATCTGAATCACATTTGTTGTATGCATTAAACTCTCCTATACTTTTAGAATAAAGCCCATGCCCCTGGTCAAGGCTTAAAAGGTGCTGCATTACTTGGGCCCTGGATTCCTGCTCTGTCCCCTTTTCCTACCACTTTCCTCCCTGTTCACTCTGCAAGAATACACTAGCCTCCCTTTTGTTGTTCAGTGTTATCTAGCTCCTTTTCACCTTAGCCTTTGTATGGTTTGGGATTGTCATAGTGTGGGTAGCTCCTTATCAACATTCAAGACTAGGCTCAAATGTCACATTTTCAAAAAGCTCTTACTTTACTACCCCTCCCCTCCTCCTCATTTCAATTGCCCTTTTCTAATCCACTGTCTTGAAATGCACAGGTTGTTATCTGAAATTCCTTTAGGTATCTATTACCTGATTATCTCCCAAATCTCTCATTATAAAGTACAATCTGCAACAGAAGTGATCTGGTTTTATTCCCCGTGTGCTGTAGCCACAGTAGTTTGGCCAGCACCTGGCCTTTGTAGGAGCACAACAAATGAAATAAACGTCGCAGCACTTAATCATATAAAACTTCTCAGTTTCCTCATCTGTGAAGCTGAGATAATTATACCTGTTCTGGACATCTGAAATAATGCCTAACATTTACTAACTATTCCTATGCCTCAGGCACAGTAAGAATCACCTTACATGCAGCTTCTCATTTACTATTATGATTACTCTCTTACAAATAAGGCCACCAAGTCAGAAAGGACAAATAACTGGTGTAAGGGCACTGCCCATAGTGATGACAAGGGTGTGAAGTGAGTCCTGACCTCAGAATCCGAGTTCTTAACCACTATTTCCTCCATTCTAGTAAGATGCTTCCTTCCAACGCGGCGAAATCGACTAAGCTAGCTGGGTCCTCTGGTCCTCCTTCGTCAGTGGGCCAAGTAAAGAAAACTATTACATGCTCCACGCCTTTCTTTTCCAACTTGAATGCCCCCCCCTCCCCATCTCCTCCACTTCTTCCTTGAAAGATCCCCAGATCCTGGTCCCTTCTAAACAAACTTGAGTTTGACCATGTTTCTCCCGCGCCAGGGCAGGGATGCTCGCAGAGCAGGTAAGGGGCATCACACAGCAGTGAAAGACAACTGTCAGGGACGGAGAAAATGCAGAAGTTCTGCGTGTCCGCGAGGCCCGCGGTTACCTCAGGACGGTCCCGGGGAGAGACCACCCTGGAGCCGCCCTCAGCGAGCAGCGGCCCCGAGGCCGGAGGCGCCCAGGTGCGCGGACCGCGGGGCAGCGGCGAGATGCAGACAAAGGCTGGCGGGGGTTAGGAAGACAGAGATTTTCTTATTCGTCGCGTAACGTTTTAGGCACTTTCCTCAAAGTGAGTGAGATGGGCTCTGGAAGGAAGCACAGTGGGAGGAACAGTAAAGCAGCAAAACGCGAACCTACCCGCGATCTGGCAACCCGGCCTCCGTAGCCCGGCTCAGCGCGCGGCCACCTGAAGAGCCCGGTAGCCAAGGCAGCAGCGGGCTCGACTAGCTATCGCGAGGCAAGGCAGGTCTCGCGAGATCTGAGCCCGCGCCCCTCACAGGCGGGCGTTCTTTCCGGGCGCCATGGGAGGGCTCTGGCGACCGGGATGGCGGAGCGTCGCTTTTTGTGGCTTGCCTTTGGGCCGCCCCGGGGCCCCGAGTGGGGCCGCCGAGGCGGTAGAGGCGTGTCTCAGGCCGTGGAGGAGTGGGGCGGCGGTTGCTGAGAGGGGGCTGAGGCGGCTCGGGACATGGAAGCGCCCCAGCCTGGCCCGGGACCGGGCGGTGCTCCCGCCGCGGCGGCCGAAGAGCACGAACCCGTTCACGCGCGCGCAGGAGGAGGACTGGCGGCGGCGGAACAAGACGCTGCTCACGTACGTGGCCGCGACCGCCGTGGGCATGGTGGGGGCGTCCTACGCCGCCGTGCCCCTGTATCGGCTCTATTGCCAGGTAGGGCCCGCGCTGGCCGCTGACAGGGGGATGGGCAGAGTCTCCTAGCTCCCAAACGACTCATTTTTGACCATAATCAAGTGATTACTGGAACAGTATGAATGGTAACAAATAGAGACCCTTGACCCCCACCCCCCAAAGTGGTTAAACCATTGACCCATTCATAGGAAATGGTGGGTGGCAGTATATAAACTTGGCTCCTAATGGATTTTTGTTTCTGAAGACTTACTTGTTTATGCATACAAGAGCTGGGGTACAGGCCAGATTTTGGGGGGTGGCGGGGCGGTGAGAGGGTCCACCAGAGACAGAGCCGGGAACCGAACTGGCAGACTGAAATACACTGCTGAGGGGAGCAGCAGGCGAGACAGGAGAGGTCTCCCTGTCTGGGGCTCGAACTCGTGTGGGTAGCTCCCTGGCTGGGGCTCGAACTCGTGTGGGTAGCTCCCTGGCTGGGGATCGAATTCGTGTGGGTAGCTCCCTGGCTGGGGAGCGAACTCGTGTGGGTAGCTCCCTGGCTGGGGATGGAACTCTTGCTGCAGAGGCTGCGGATTGCTTCATAGTGCGGTGCTTAACCTTTTGCACCACCAGGGAGGCCCCCCTAATGGATAATTAAAGTTAAATATTTTACTTGTTTTTACCCAATAAAGACTTCATCAGCACCAAAAAGTCTTGCTTAACATGTAATGCTTTAATGTCTTCTTTTAGACTACAGGACTGGGGGGATCAGTAGCAGCAGGTCATGCATCGGATCAGATTGAAAACATGGTGCCTGTTAAGGATCGCATCATTAAAGTCACCTTTAATGCAGATGTACATGCAAGTCTCCAGTGGAACTTTCGGCCTCAGCAAACAGAAATATATGTAAGTGATAAATTGTAAGATTACCTTTTTCTAATGAAAATTTCTTGCAATATTTTGAACAGTTTTACTATGTAGGGAACACGTATCTATACTTAATTTCAAAATGTTGACTCCATTACTATAATTTCTTCCCATAGACTACTGTTTGGCCTTTATGTAACAGTATATACTCTAAATTTTAAGTTATATGGTACTATAGTGAAAGTCAGTTTGGAACCATGGGAAATGTCATCTTTTTTTATTGGAATCATTAAGAGTTCACTAACCAGTTCTCTGATCACTGATCTTGAGGATAGTATCAACTGTCATAGTTTTCCTCAGGAAAAATGTTGAAAAAAATTGGTTACAATGAAAAGTAGATTATTGATTCACTTCATAAGAATCCCTGTTCTTTAAAAGAAATTGACAGGACTTTTGAAGTACTAGTCATGTTCTATTTCAGACTTAAAGATTTCGTGAAATCTTGACTAACTGGAATTCCAGAGGATTCAACTGAAATTATTTCATCAGCTGGTGAACTGCCAGAAAAGCTCTATCATAAACCTTATTTTTCCTTTAAGTATTAGTGCTCCTTAAGTTAATAAACATGATTGAATCTCTTCAACAGTCGACAGCTTTTTAGATTATGATTTTGAATATCGTTTTCAGTTATGTAGCCCAAAGCATTAGTGGTTGAATAAGTGACAGAGTATTCTTTGGAAACCAATTTTTTTTAAAGCCTGGCATTGTTATCTACTGTTTTTTAAAAAAAATGCATTACTGCTCTTTGGTTAAATAAGAGGTCTATTCAGTTATTAGAGTATTACTCTGGTTATAAATTTAATTTACTCTGGTTGTAAGCTGAATTTATGTTGGTAACCTTTTAATAAGAATCTTTAGTGTATCATTGGACTGTGATAGGCTTGATATTCTCTGGAAGACATTTTAAGCAACTCAACTTGTAGATTATTGCCAGAAGACTTCAGATACACAAGAGAAAATTCATAATTAATTGGGCATAATAGAGCACTGGTTTTTCACTAATATATGCTAGTAAAATTTGAAAATTAGATGTTCATTGGCAGTATTCACAATTTATTTTGTCGACCCTTATTAGCTTAGGTATTACATGATGGATAGGAAAAATAATACGACATATGTTGGGGGAAAAGGTGCTGCGGAAGATGAAATGATATTATATATTTTCTTCAAAACAGGTAGTGCCAGGGGAGACTGCACTTGCATTTTATAAAGCTAAGAATCCTACTGACAAACCAGTAATTGGAATTTCTACATACAATGTCGTACCATTTGAGGCTGGACAGTATTTCAATAAAATACAGGTATAACTAAGTGCAAACTTCATAAAATGTGATAAAAGTATGTAAAACTGTTTAGTACTAAATTGCCATATTTTAGTAGGTATTGATTTCTGAAAACTTCTTCTAGACTTTTTTCATTACTTACAGTTGCTATGCCAAACCAAATGGGTATCTGCTTTGAGATTAATTTGCTTCATAATCCTTAAAGCAAAATGCAATCAAAGGTGAAAAATGTGTTACTCTATCACAGAACTTAAAGATTATATTTAATAATATGTTCATTAAAGCCAAGAAATGAGCCACCTGTTTCCACTGTAGATAACTGAATAGAAATATTAATAAATACTTTTCTATAATTTTAGTGCTTCTGTTTTGAAGAACAAAGGCTTAATCCGCAAGAGGAAGTAGATATGCCAGTGTTTTTCTACATTGATCCTGAATTTGCTGAAGATCCCAGAATGGTGAATGTTGATCTCATCACTCTTTCTTACACTTTTTTTGAAGCAAAGGAGGGGCACACGCTGCCTGTTCCTGGCTATAGCTGAAGTCAACAACTTAAGTCCTGCTTCAGATTTGTGATTTTTGAAAAATCATGTATCTTGTCTTCTCAGAGGAGAAATACTGTACAATAATGTGAAGTCTTCTATTTTAAATATTATACACTAATGATTATTTACCCCCAACTAATTTATTCAACTTAAAATTGAGAAAACAAGTTTAGCTTTTCACCATGGATTCCATATGCCTATTCAGAATGTATGACTATGTAAAACCCATGCTCAGAGTTTGAGTAGTAGTATTAAAAAAAACTTTTAACTATGTAGGCATGGACTTGATGGTTCCTGTCCACCTTCAAATTATTAGTTCATACTTGTAGCAATAAGGTTTTTTTAATGCCCAAGTTTGTTTTAGGCACTAGGTTGACCTTCTGATGATTTTATTATTTCTAAAATAGCTGGTTACTACTTTTATTGTGAACTGTGACTATTTTAAAGGTTCAATATGGAAGCAGAACCACTAAGCCCTAACAGGTTGCCCAAAATTACATTCTGATTTCAGTTTTGGCTGCATTTTTTTTTCTTGTAGGGTTATTTCATAGTCATAGTACTTAATAGTTACTTTGAAACTTTTGGGTCATGAAATTGAAATAAAATGTATAAACGTGTATGGATCTAGTAGGTTTCTCACATTTCCTATCATATGTCCAAATCCCTGAATGTTAAAATGTAAATGTAGGATTGTGAAGATTTACTGATACCAGAAGTTCTATGAACAGACTGTAAAAAAAATGTATTAAATTGTTTTAATTGTAATTTGTCATTATAATTTGACATATAAATGAATGCACAATTTGTTTTCCAGTGGTCTGTCCCAGTTAGAATATTAAATTACAATATAAAGGAAAAAAGAACATGTTGTATTATAAAGAATCATATTTAAAGACAGCCCAATGTATAGTCCAGTGACCTCTCGGGGTATCTAAATATAATTCAACTACAATCATCAAAGGTTTAACTCATAATGCTAAACAAGAATACTATTTATAAAGAAGTGCAAATTGATTTTTACATTCAACTTTAGTTAAATGAAGGCACTTAATATTTAGTTTCTCACATTTCACACTTACATCTATTCAGAATTATTTTGTAATTAAATCATCTGCTCTTCATTCAGCTGTGTGATGGTCTCTGTGGTGGAAGGCCTGTGAAACATAAGACGCTACAATTAAACTGCTTGGCCTCAATACAATGAATTTTTCTTCTGAAGTTTTAAATGAGTATATGTCACAACCAAGTTCTTTTGAGATAAAGCTTGAGATGGTGCCAGGAGCCGTTACATGTCAGACTGGAACTGTGACTCTTCTGTTAAACTTCATTATTGCACAGGAGAAATTTTCCACCATGTTTTTGATGTTTAGTAGGTCTTGTCTTCTCAAAGGTGGACAGTCTGTCTTTCAGAGAGTTGGAGCCCCTAACGCAGCTAGTGACTAGGTCCTCCACTTGCACCTATAATAAAGAAGACAGTCCACCATCTCCATCTTTTCCTTCTTTCCTCATTCCTTGATAACTGGAGAATCACATAGTAGAGGAAAGGTGAGAATTTACAACACTATTACTTCCAAGGAGGAGGGTGTGTGGGATAAATACAATACAGTTAATAGGCCATATATTCATTAGTAAATTAGTTAGTAAATAAATGGGATAACTAGTACTGCAAAGAATGAATTTAGACCCCTGGACAGTGAGTGGGTTTTACCATTCCCAATTTGTAAGTATTAACACGTCTGATTTCAGTTTCTAAGAAGTTTCTTCGATCAACTATTTTTGTTAGCATTAATATTTCTATACTGTAAACCAAATTCTCGATTTCCAAGATTATCTTTAGCAAACAAGGCCACAACGAATGTTATTCTATTAGTGAAGAATATTTTATTAGAACTTGATTTAGAGGAATTTGTGTAGTAATTTCAATCACCAATGTGTTAGAGATTCAAATAGCCTTTATACAATGTAAATAGTAAATATAGAAAGCAGTGATTGCACTGAAATCATGTGATGCAAGAATGTGATATGTAAATTGAACTCTTTACCTCAACATTCACTATGAGTTCCTTTGGGGTGGTGATGATCGATTTCTTCATAAATACTTCTAAAACAAACAAGCCATCATGGCAAAGAGGGTTATGTTACCAGTTTCAGAGTACTATTTTGGCTTTTAACTGCCAAAACCTTAATTAAAAATCTGGTCTCATTTTAGGTGTTCAGACTACATCAGTGATGATATCATAAAATAAGCTGCTTTAAAGATTTCAAGTTAAAAAGTATTTTTATACAAGTGTTTTATTAATTCATTTTAAGCAGATTTTTGTCATAGGTACCGGAAGCTAAAAATTAAGTTTTTTGGTGATTAATAGTCAAAGAACAAGAATACTGTCCCATCAATACAGTGTTATGTCACCAATCCGTGACTAGCCCTTCTCAAGCTAGAGAGAACCTTTGCTAAGGCAGCTAGAAGAATCCATTAATGCAAAGCTGGTTCCAGTTATTTCTTAATATGCAACCACAGCATTTTTATTTTTCAGTCACAAGACTGAGAATGAAAAAGACCATTAAGAGCAACAGCCTCTATAAAACCTCATAAGTCATTTTTAATAAGCCATTGATTTCTGCCAAGGCCTAAACAAATGTAAATGTATAACCAAGTCCTGTTAGCTCTGCTACAAAGGGAAGCAAAACAAAAAATAAATTAATCTTTTTGAAAATGACTTACTCTGTAGTGACAGCAGGAGCTAAGGGATCAAACTCCATTACCTCATAGTAATTGGGTGACTGGGGATCACTCTTTGTCATTGCTTTAGGCAAAAGAAGGAAAAAAAAAAGATTAGTAAACACACATCCTGCCTTTTGAGGACATATACAATTAATAATTCTCTTATGACTTAGACTTCAAACACAAAACCCAAACAAACACTGAAAACCAGAAACAAACAGGCTGGTGTTCAACGGGACTTCCAAGTGCAAAGAATTTACACACATCAGAAAGATTTCCAAACTTCCCCTAGACGTTCATTCAAAATACAGCACATTCAAAATACACAAGCAAGTTTACTGTCTCCTGCTCCTTTACTGTCTCATAATGGGATCAGCCCTGAATTTATTTCACGTGGCCTTAAAAAGAAAATGAATTCCTGTAAGTTTTCCTTTCGATATATCTCTTAATTACCAGTTACTCTCTGGCAGACCCACTTATTCTCACAGGTTTCCTTATTCGATGGAAATAAGGTCTCTAGTACCTGGATGATTGCTGGGCAAGGGTGGCAGTCTCTCGCTTGATGGTGTTGCTAGAACGTTTTGTAGACTAACAGGCTGCAGTAATACTGTACTGGAAGATTCCAAAAACTGAAGAAAGCATAGCACATATTTAAATCAACATTTTACTTCAGCTTCTCATATTTAGATTCCTAGGCTTCCAAGTGGTGCTATTCCAAGAACTGTAACAGACTTTTAACTGTATAAGAATAAGTAATTATTGATGAAGACTGTCATCACAGAAGGGTTTTTTTTTAGCTAATAATCACTAATAAAATGTACTGCTTTTTCCATCTGGTTTCATGCACACTGCATTTTCTACCTAAAATGTAAAATTTTTCTGAAATGTCATTTTGAAAAAAAAAAAAGAAGCAGGGATGGTTCAGTCCAGATTCTGCTGCTTCATACAGATGTAAAAATCTCAGCCTCAAATAGAAAGAACAAATATCTTTTCAGAAAGGTATAAGGTAAAGACATCAAGTCAGGAATGATAAAGGATTAAAGCCTTAATTAGAGACAGCTTTCCATTCATTTCACAAATGTGTCTTGGGCATCTATTAGACATCAAGCCTTACAAATAAAGCAATAGATGGACTAAGTCCCAGCCCTCCTGGAGTAGACACAAACGGAAACAGTTATCAGATGGCAAGTGCTTTAAAAATAAAAAAGGGTACCAGGGAGGAGAGAGGCTGGGGTGGCAGTGTCAGGGAATGACTCAGCACTGCGGACAGTGAGTAGAGCCCTGACTCTGACATGGGCCCTGTGATTATTTGAGGAGACGCAGATCACATGCTCTTAACTGGAGGAGGCCACTGTGGTAGAGCACAATGAGCCAAGAATGAAAGGTGAGGCTGGCAAGGTCACATTCAGATCAGCATTTCAGGTTTTTACGGAGTAAAATGCAGCAAGGAAGAAAATCACAGGAGGGGTTAAAGATGAGTAATATAATATTCTTACTTCTGAAAAAAGATTGCTCTGGCTTCTGCTCTAAGCATAGATTGCCGGGTGGGGACAGAAGTGGCGAGGCAGCAAAGGATGACTCAGGGCAACCCTTAAGAGGCCATGGCCGTGTCCGTTTGAAGGCCTGGATTGGGATGCAGCAGAGGTGGTGGTGGGAAGTGGCTATATTTTGTAGGTAAAAATAGGTTTAGTACAATTTTTTAAAGTTTTTGACCCAAGTGAGTGAGTGGTCCCTTTCTTTCGTAGGGAAGACTGCAGAAAAAGTAGGACAGGGCTAGGGAGAAATCAAGAGGACATGGTAAGTGGAAGGTGTAATTCTGAGTTTAGGGGAGGGGTATTTGGGCTGTAGGTATCAATATTAAATTGTTAGCACCTGATACTTCAAGATATGAGTTCAAAGACCAGCAAAAAATGAATGTAGATAGAGAAGTCTGAGCCCTGGGATTTCTAACACTGAAAGGCCAATAGAAGTGGAGGGGCCAGCAAAGGAGACATTGAAGAAGCAGAAAGGAGGTACAAGAGGAACCAATGAGGAGTATCCAGAAGCCACGTGTGCAAAAGGAGGATGTGATGGGCTTTGATACTGCTGGTAAATCAGGGAAGAAGAGAACTGAGAATGGCAGCACCAGCTGTCGCAATATGGAGCTCACGGTGGCCGTGACCAGCGCCACGCCCGCAGAGTGTAGGGATGACATCATGTCTGAAGCCGGCCAGAGAGGGGAGGCAGGCAGTGGAGACAATACATGCAAACAATTCTAGAGGAAATTGGATCCTTAACAATCTTAGTAACAGAAGTGAGACTCAACTTGTCCATCATAAAAGAATAAAAAGAACACAAGGGAAAGTTCTAACAAGGGCTGCTCTGACACATCATACATATAACGAAACGTTGAGCAGAACATGAGAATTACAAACAGGAGCTCCTTTTTGGCCATGACAATCTGCTGACGTAGGTGCACTGCCAGGAAGGATTTCTCTACTTACATTCTCATAGGTATGACCCGAGTCGAAGTTTTGGGTGGTCCTTTGGGGCAACCTAGGATAGTATGATAACACAGTATGATTACAGTGAGAACACAGATGCAAAAAGTAAGATGACTTTGGTGGTCTAAAAACAAAACTGAAAAGATGTACCATCAGAATGCACAAAAGTCTTACTTTTACATAATAATTGTCATTTGTATTAGTGCCCACCAGATCATGATGCCAAAGTAAGAGTAGCGACAAAGCTGTCCCTTAGCCATGGGGTCCCCTGCGGCCCCAGAGCAGGCACAGAACGCTGGTAAGAACAGAGCCTTCAGTCTTACCATCAGAGTAGCTACTGTCCCCTCATTTCCTGAAGGAGGAGGAGTGATGCAGGGTGGAGGTAAGAGGGAAGCAGGGAGGAGTAAGGTGGGAGGAACACATCTCACCTTGTCTGTCCCGTTGCATGCAATTATACAATCTGGGCACAATACGTGGTGTAGATGTTTGAGGAATGAAAACTAAGTAATTACAGCCTGACCGGGAAGGAAGACCAGAATTTGAGTATGTTTGAACTGTTGGTGAACTTACATTTTTGGGGCCCTCTGGTACTCCCTGACCTGAATGCAAATGCAGACTGAAACCCAAATGCGGGCATCAATCAGTGAGGACAGAGAGAGCTTCAGGAGATGCCCGCTCACGCTCACTCAAGGAGCAGGAAAGGGAAGGCCTAATGCTGAGAGAGAGAATCCTACTGGAAATCCTTCTCCCTCTTTTATTTTTCCTCTTCTGTTGTCTCACACCCAAAGCCCAAGGCATACCAAGATAGCTGCAGTGACAGCTGACTTGAAAGTGACCTACAAGAATGTAAAACTCTGAGCAAGAGGACCCTCTGCCCAACAGATGGAGCTATGATCCCAAGACCAAGGCCAACCTGTTCTGTCTTGTCCCCATTCTGTCTTGTCCCCATTCTGTCCTGCCACTTGATCTCAGACACAAGCACAGTGAAGGGAATGCACAGCAGGACAGGTAGCTAAAGCTTTAGCTTTCTGATTGGAGACCCAAAAAGGAGAATCCCAAGATGTAGGGAAATCACAAAGAGAGAAGAATTCAGGAAAGCAACTTTATAAAGTTGTTTATAAGATTGTGGGCTGACCTCCTGGATCTGTGCATCTGTGGATCCGATCTCAGCCTGGATGTCAAAGACTGAGAACACACAGATCTGCTGCCCAGACCTTAGACAGACTGTGGAGGCCATACATGGGGGGACAGATCTGAATAGCACTACACAGACTTTGACAATTTAACTGACATCAGAACCAGAGCACATGAAGGCAGGTTCAAACTGCAGCATGAAGCTAATGAGGTTGTCAGCCTATTATAAAATCAAAAAATCGGCATTCAATCCAAAACTACCAGGGATATGAAGAACAGGAAAATTTTCAGATTGCAGAAGAAAAGACAATCAACAGAACTGATATTGAGGACACAGAAGATGAAATTATCTCAGAAAGATTTTAAAGCAGTTACCATACAAATGCTACAACAGGCAACTGCAAACACTCATTAAGAAATGGAAAAACAAAGTCTCAGCAAAGCATTGTAGATATATACTGCCAATGTTAATTTTAGAACTGAAAAATACAATAATTAATTTTTTAAAAAACTTACAGAATGAGTTCTATAGCAAAATAGCAAAAACTAGACACAGTGAACCTGGACAGAGGTCAACAGAAATTATCCAGTAGAAAATTCAGGAATGAAAGAAGTAATTAATAGAACCCTAGGGGTCTATGAGACAATGACAACAGATCTAACATTTGTTTCATCAAGAATCCCAAAAGGAAAGTAGAAATGTGTAGTGCTGAAAAAATATCTATAGAAACTAAGGCTGAAAGCTTCACAAAATTGGTGAGGGACATACACCCACAGATTCAAGAAGTTCAGTGTAGTGGGTTAAATGGACGGTCTCGAAAATGTTATGTCCATGTCCTAATTCCTGGACCCTAAGAATAATACCTTATTTGGAAAAGAAGGTCTTTGTAGAAGTTTAGGATCTTGAGATAACAATATCATCCTGAATTATTCAAATGGGTCCTTAATCCAAAGACATGGTCTTAAAAAAGAAAAGTGGAGGGAGATTTGAGACACACAGAGGAGACGTGAAGATAAAATGGAGTGACTGGCCACAAGCCAAGGAAGTGAGGAGTGCTGATGTCACCGGAACCTGGAAGAGGCAAGTTGGCTTCCCCTCATGGCCCTGGAGAAATTGGCCCTGCTAAATGTCAGATTTCAGCCTTCAGAACTATAAGAAAATATTCCTGTGGTCTTAAAACCACCCAGTTTGTGGTGATTTTTTGATGGCAGCCACAGAAAACTAATACAGTCAGCAGAAACAAAACAGATTAAACCAAAAGAACTCACATCCAGACATATCAGAATTGAAGTGCTAAATATAAGAAAAAAGGCCTCCCTGGTGGCGCTAAGGGTTCAGTCACAGCATTACCACGCTATCCGCAGCCACTGCAGCATGAGTTCGATCCCTGGCCAGGGAGCAGCCCACATGGCATAGCAGACCTCTCCTGTCTTGCCCGCTGCTCCCCTCAGCAGTGTATTTCAGTCAGTCTGCCTGTTCTGCTCCCCATTCTGTCTCTCGTGAATCCTATCACACACACACACACACACCCGGGCACCTCTGGCCTACACCCCAGCTCTTGTAAGCATAAATAAATTTTAAAAAATAATTATAACACTGCCTAGTGCTGATTTTTTCCAGTGTGTAGAGATGCCATGTATCTGATAACTATAATAAAAAGAGGGGATCGATATGATCACAAGGTTTCTAGGTTACACTTCAAGTGTAAAATACTGATTCTAAATAGACTAAAAAATAATGTTTATTGTACTACCAAAGCAACCAGCCCCAGGCTCCGATATCAGCTACACAGATACCAACAAAATCACAGTAGATAAAATGGAATACTAAAAACATTCAAATAATCCACATGAATGCAGGAAAAGGAAATGGGGGGAAAAAAACTCCAAACAGAAAACTATACAATGGCAGACCTCAATCCAAATTACATTAAACAAAAATGTCTAAATGTATCAATTAAAGGCAGAAAGGACAAGAATACATAAAAAATGTATGGCCCCACAATACGTTATGTATAAGACACTCACTTCAAATATTTTGATACACTTAAAATAAAAAGATAGAAACATATCATGTAAACATTAATCAAAAAAAAAAAAGCTAGTATGGCTATATTAATATCAAAGTAGACATAACGGCTAAGAAAATTACAATTCACCAAGAATACATAACATTTCTGAATGAGCTTAAATAATAAGGTTTCAAAATATATGAACACCGATTTTACACAACCTTTTCTAGAAATATTATATACTACGTGATTAAAAACTTTTGGAAAGAGAGTCTAAAAAACCACTGATACTACAGATTATTTTATTCCAGTGAATTCCATCAACTATTAATGATTGTTTCTCCAACTGATGGGTACTTAAGTTGTTTCCAAATATTAGGTGTTCCCTAAATGCTGTAAAAATATTCTTATAAATACCCCATTTTGTATAACTAATTATCAATTCCTAGACGATAGTCTGAAAGTTCAAAGATAAATGCATTCATAATTTTAATAGATATTAACACTTATCCCCCATAAAAACTGCATAAATTTGTGATGGCACCTGCTTTTCCATAGACAGCAAAGCATGCTATCAAACATCCAGTCTTATGCCAATCCGTAAGGGTAAAAAATTTTTTTTATTGTAGTTTACATTTCTGTGATTGTAAATAATAAGGCTGAGCATTACTGTACATGCTTACAAGTCATTTTATTTCTTTCTTGGTAAATTATCATTTCCCCTACTTAATAGCTACATATAGACCTGGATAAGTTTTATTCTCCAAGTCTCAGCCTTTTCTCCTGCAAATTGGGAATAATAATAATATTGGCCCAAGGACGTTAGCAAAGATTAAATTAAATAAACAACAACAGCTTAGCAAAGTGCCTGGACACAGAAAGTGTGCCATAATTGATGTGCCCATTACTCTTTCACAATTTTGAACCTCATTTCTCTTCTCTATTCTTTGTTACAATATTTCCCCTACCTCCTATACCACTAAAAATATAACAGAAACTGACAATTTATGGAAGGTTTATTATGTACCAAATGCTATATTAGGACATGTATACAGGACCTTATAGAATCTTTCTAAGAGGTTAGAAAATATTCTTAAAAAAAAAGGAAGGTTCATACTAGTAAAATATCTTATCCATGGTTATAGAGTTAGTAGCAAGGAGCACTGACATTCTCAGGACTGTCAGATTCCTAGTGTCTCTACTTTTTCTTGGACATCACGTTTTTTTAGATATGAAGAATTAGAATTACAGGGAGTTCTGGAGAACTTTTACCATACTTACAAAGGTGTTTCTGTATTTTCCAAGGATAGCAAATCTGCTTGGGGCTGAAGACTGGGTTTTACGTTGTTTGTTATATCAGGACTTGGAGAGCCGAAATCTAGAACGCAAAATGGACTTGTTTGACTTTAAAACATTCTGTCAACCAGTTGTTCAGTTGTTTCTTACAGTAAAAAAACTAAGACACAAAAAGCAACCAAATGAAAGACACAAAAAGCAACCAAATGAAAGATATTTCTGTCACCATAAAATCATAGGATTTCCTCAGATGACAAAGCATTATTTATAATTGGGAAGAGAAATCCCCTACCATGAAAAGAGGTTGTGAAGGTAACGTATGTTACTGTATTGAATATTCTAAAACTCCAAGCTGATCCAGAATGGAAAGGGTTTTGTGTTTAGTTTTGCTAAGCACAAAAGTAAACAGCAATGGTCACACCCCCAAGCTCTTAACTTCCCACTATCCTAAGTGAAACACCCCAAAGGGAGTAATTATTTTTGCCCCCACTAAAAACTCAAGAAAACTCTTCAGAGTTACAGGCTCCTCACATTCCACTGGCCTACAGACACAAATTGCCAACATCTTAGAAATGGGGCAAATTAGAAGGAAAATCACAAATTCAGGGACAGTGAATATTGTGACTCTGGAAAAACCTGCTCACATAAAAGAAATAAACTGATTTTAGTTCGGCAATACTTCTGGATTTCAGCATTTTTCTTCAACTTACTTTGTAATTTACCAGAACTTTTTGGGAATAAGGATAATAGGAGTGAACAACTAACACAGATATGGTCGATGACCCTAAGCTTACCATACACTGTATTTACATTCATAATACAACCCTTTAAATAAGTAACCATTATTCTTGGTTTATAAAATAGGAAAGTCTCAAAGGTTGGACGACCAACAGAGGATGGGATTAGGATTTCCAGCTGAATCTCTGACTCAAAAGCCTGTGTTTTTGACCCCTCGACTTTTCCCCACCAAGTGAACCGAGCCTCATTAATTCCTGGATTTCTCTATCTGCCTCAAATATCCTCTTACCTGATATAGTAGTATGGCAGAAAAGCCCAAAGACAAAAGTGTGCGGGTTCAGAGTAAAGTACAGGCCAGTTTGTGAAACCACCTCTACAAAGCAGGTCATATGAATTCCATGAGATTCTAAGCCAGTGGGGCGAGTTTCAAGGACTTCCTCCCCATGACATATCCCATTCTTGCACTGGGTTTGACCCAATCGTTTGCCAAGAAGTAATTATATCTCCTGATATTGAAACTGCCTTCAGTTCTTTCAGGCTGCATTTAATCATGAAACCAAGAGCTATTGCACAGCCTGCTCTTCCGCTGGTCTGAAAAGGCCCACGTGCTTATTTACTTAAGTCTGAAAGCTGAGCATTCACATCGCTGAGTTCCCCCAGAGCGGCCCTAGGCATGGGAGGGCTGGGACTTAGGTCCAGGAGGTCACAGGATGGGGCAGAAGGTTCACTGGTAGTCTGAAAACAAAGCAAATGAAAACACAATTTAGAAAGGATGTGCCGTGTACTCTATCGTGGCTGTCTCCCCAGAGACTTTCATTTGGAGAAAGGAAGATCCTATATGGATGCATTCTGAGGGAGAATTCTCCATTCAATGTGAGGCACTAATATTTAGTCCCATCTCACCATCCACATCGGTTCCTACTTAATTGGAGAATCTTCTATTATAATTTATTAATAATTTAATGACATCAAGTTATTAACACACATACTCTATACCAGCAAATCATTAAACTTCCCTCTTTTTGTTAGGGGGAAAGGATGTCCTGAGCAAACTCAATACAGGTTTTGTGGACTCCACCACCACTCCAGAACAAAGCCATCAAGACACTGGGAATGACAAATCCCATCATCACTAAAGGGAGGGTTGCTGAGACCTGAAGGTATAGGTTAAGCAGCCAGGTTTGGTATAAAACCAGACATGTAGGCCTTGGGTGGCTCTCTTGACCTCACAGCTCTTGGCTTTTCTCCAGCTCTCAGCATGACATTGCGATTCCAGGACACATTCATGAATTTATCTTCCTCCTTTACTCCCTGAGATATTCATTTCCCTTTCTTTTGTAAATAAACCTTTTATTAAGCTTTTGTGTGTGCCTGCAGTTGAGCATTAATAAGTTCCTCGTAAGCGCACAGGTGAGGACCCACAGTCAGGCAACCCATTTCATATTGGGGTTGCCCTGTAACATTTTCATGACTTCTTTTAGGCAAGACTTGATCTTGACTGCACAATTTGTAAATGTTCAGTTGTTCATTTTATAACATGTTTATCCACTTACGTTGTTGTCTTCCCTCTGGTTTTTATTTTGTTCCAAAAATCTCTGTTGGTTTCGAGTAAACCTGTTTGAATTAGTAAAATGCAAGTAGTTAAAAGAAAAAAACAAGTTGAAATGCTATAGTATTTAACAATTAATGTGTAAAGTTTAGGAACAAAGACAATCAGCCTCATTCTCACTCCACTCCCAGCAATTTAATAACATTTTTCCAGTTTATAGAGGTTATAATGCCTTTAGAGAGAACTGAGAAAATGAAAAAAAAAAATTAAAAATTAATAATTCCATACCTAGAAATTGTCTCTATTAACACTATTAACATTATGATGTATTTTCTTCCAGTATTTTTCAACTTAACCTATATTAAACTTAATTGAAATTATACTTTAACTAATCCTGTATGCTACTTCAATTGTCATTTTTCCTAGTTATTCAGAAATACATTTTTTAGTAACTGCATATTTCACCTTATAAAGGTATCACACATTAATATATTTTATTCTCAAATATAAGTTATTACCAACTTTGTCATTATAAATCATTTTCCACAAAAATTCCAAGTATTTTTACTGTTGATCATCTTTTTTTATAAGACCCTTGATACCTACTAAAATTATTGACCTGTTACAATTTTGATTTAATTTCACATTGCACATACACTGGGGTTGTAAAGAAAGAGCAGTTACAATTGAGAGTAGATTTGAGTAACAGTGAAGCCGGAGGTAGAAGTCCAAGGTTTAAGTGTCAGCATTATTATCTAGTAAGGATATGATTTTCTGATCCCTGGTTCTTTATCTGCTAAATGAGAACAGCAACATTTAAGTCACTTCCTCAGAAGCTACTCTCGGGGGTAAGATATAGATAATGAGGAAACGCTTGGCAAACTAAAACTCACTTCAAAAACGTACAGAATTACCATTATGACACATGAGGCCATGAAACTCACACTTTAAAATCTAAAAGCTTAGACTGAATTGGAACATGCTCTGAAGTTTAAGGGTTTTTGCCTTACCGTCTACTTATGACAATGATTTCTTATACACTAGTTATGTGCTGTGTATGAAGAACCTTCACAGATGAAGTCAGGAGTAACCAGTATCTACTTCCTTATTGGCAAAACTATTCCATAGACTTTAGGGGATACTGGACTAGGGTGAATATATTTCACATGTGAAATGTATGTGAATCTTTGGGGAATGGAGAGCAAACTCTGAGAGGCAGAATAACGCCACTACTCCTTAACCCCATATTCATATCCTAATCAATGGAAGTGAATAATAATCGGTTAGATGGCAAAGGGGAATCAGTTGTAAATGGAGTGAACGTTCCTAATAAGATCCCCCTGGACTATACAAATGAACTTAATGTAATCACAAATATCCTTAAGTGTGGAAGAGGGAAGAGACAGCAAGATTGGAAAGACATGAGCAGTCGATCAGAAGACATTGGTTTTGAAGATGGAGAACAAGGGTCATAAGCCAAGAGAAGTGAGCAACTTCTTTGCAAAAGGTAAGGAAAGGGACTCTGTAGAGTCTCCACAGAATGCAGTCCTACCCACACCTTAATTAATCTTGACACCAGTGAGATACATTTCGGACTCTTACGGAACTGTATGATAGTTTAGGTTGCTTGAAGCCACTAAGTTTATGGGAATTTGTTACAGCAGCCACAGAAACTCATACACCAGTGTATTATCTTTTCAAGAGGCAAGTGTTTCTCTCTGAATCTCAAGACTCCTGTGTTTCTGTCTCACGACTGACCACAGCTGCTTTTGGCACACACAGTTGAAAAATGAGTCAGAATGTGTTGCTCACAGAAGTAATCCAGTCTCCTGATATTTAGATGAAATAAACACACATTTCTCCTATGAGGAAGCTTTTGGTCAGTGGTCTTGTGGTTTGTGATAGAATTCTCCAAAATGAAAACCAAAAGGCAGCATTTCACTGAAAACCATGTGGTTTTCCTTAGAAATTTCTTCACTTACTAAGACTTCTACCACATGAAATGAAGGGTAAGGACGGCAAGGATGTGCAGGGCTGAGAGGACACTAGCCCCTGGGCTCACGTGCTAGGTCCCTGCAGGCATCTCCTCGCATGAGGGGCAGAAAGGGTGAGAAACTGCTGGTTTTACTTCACTGATGCTCTTTGTTCATTCATGATCAGTGGTGGGGAGAAAGCCAGTAAGTTAAAAGGCTCAGTGGGACATTCATGGGGAGAAGGAAGACAAGAAATTACTATTTAATGAGTGTCCATATGCTAGTATCTTGCTAGGTGCTTTTCTATGTATCAGCTCATTTAATTCTCAAAACAAAAGCCCTCCAAATAGGCAGGATCATCATCTTAAAAAGATGGAAGAAAACCCAAGGTTTAGTAACTTGTCTGAAATCTCCAAGCAAGATCTGATTCCAGGCCTGTTAACCTCATTCCCTCATGTCACACTGGTGTTAATCTTCATTGGTTGGTTGGAAATACAGCCAAAGTGCAGCTAAATATTCCCAGTTATTCTCCACTGAAATGGGTTACTCAAGTGTGTCTACAAATGTTACCTTAACTAGGAAGATGGACTGTGGCATTTAGCAAACAGGAGGCCACACAAGGGAAAACTGTCCCATCCAAAATGCCAGCAGCACCCCTAGACATCTAGAAAAAGTTGGGGGACTTCATAAGCTCTAGAATTTCTATGATAGGAAGGCTCATGGATGGGCTTGGAAAGATATTAGGACACTTGCCTGACACTGTGTTTTTATACAACACATTACATTAAGACGGAGGCCCTACTGTCAATCTAAGCAGCTACAGTTCCTGGGGGCAGATTCTGGGTGCAGGTTCTCCCCCAAGGTCTATGGTACATTCCCATAGCTTCACATACCATGTCTGCTCTGGTAAGTCTCCTCATTGAATTAATTCCTAATTCATCCTATGACCTCTGCCTAAGTGGCACTTCCTTATAGGGGCCTTCTTTTCCTGCTCCCAACCCAGATCATGGAGCTCCTGTCCTTTTATCTCACTGTGCTTAGTTCAATTTTCAAGTGTGTGTATACATATATGATTTTTTGAAAATCTCTGCTCATACACAAAATTTCCTCACTGGCTGCTGTGGTTACATACAATTTTCTCCCTATAAAATATCTTCCCCTCTTCTCCTTACCATTCCATATTCTCCTCCATCTCAAACTTACTTTCACTAAGATGCTGTGTTTATAATACCGTCTGTTAAAGAGTCTATGAAGTGCTCAAGGCCGACAGTAAGAGGAGAATGAGACCCAGGACCTGCTGAAAGGAGCACATGTGAGTGTTGTTTACACTGTCCAAGAAGGCCCAAGAACACTCTTGGACCTGCTGAGACAGGCGTTATCTTGGAAGCCTTATCACAAGCTCCCAGAAGGCCAGCATCAAGATGCCCGTTCTTGAGGGGAAGGAGGTCTTTGTCTTAAAAGTTGTTCTTGAGTATTCACCTTGTAGGTATGCTAGTAAGAATGCTGAGTAACTGGTGGTGAAACTGGAACTGGAAGAGGGCTGGGGAGGAAGCACACCACGCATTTTCTCACCTCTCACATCCAAGGATGGCATTATTCAAATCCTCATTCACTTGAATTAGCTCAACAGTCACATCTTCATTCTCCACCACTACAAGCAAATCCATGATCCTCTCCTGCATCTGCCGGCTTGTCTTATAAAGTTTCTGCCAAAGAAAGGAGAGATATTTCTTCTTCTGTTGTAAAAATAAATTCTACTTTTTACCCAGGCAGAGGAAGAACAAGCGGTACTTCAGGGATGGTGAGGTCAGGAGAAGCTTTATTACTCACGCATGAGGTCCCAGACCTGGGTAACCCCGTAAGGTCTGAGTGCCCATTTAAAGACCAGGGGTTCCTTTTATACACAACTGTCCCCATATCTGTTACATTGATAACATCGTTTTTTTTTTCAGCAAGCACAACAATTTGCAGCAAAGTCCCCAGGCAAGGCGGGCAAGGCAAGGGCGGAAAGATGCAGGCATTCGCGGATGCAGGCATTCAGGGAGGGCCTTGGAGAGACAGACCAGCTTGGCCAGCTGCCCGACCTCGTAGATAAGAGTGCTGAGGCCCAGGCCGCGAATCTTGAAAGGGAAGGAGCTGTAAGTAAGCAAACTTGTTGATTATGCCTGCGTTGGAGTGTTCATTGCACCTGGGCTGGAAGTTCTGCTGGAATCTTTATTATATTCATTTGCTCAATAATATATTTTCGCTTCACTTCCATACTAGAAATGTTTTATACAACCAATTTGTCAATCTGTATTTATCTGTAATCACCTCCACTCTGAGTCACCTGAGAGAAGAGTATCAAAATATTTAACTATGAACAGTTTATCTTTCTCATCGAAAGGCAAGGGGTTATAAGAGATGACATTTTTTCTACAAATCAAAATAGGCGTCATAAGGACAATATGGTATGCCACAGTGTAATGCTGGACTGGAAAGCTGAAGAGGTATATGGGAATCCAGATGTACTGCTTATTAGATATAGCTCACTGAAGGAAAAAAAAAACAAAACTTGTTTTCTAAATCTCAGTTTTCTCATTTGATAAAGAGATGTGACTAATGAGTGATTCTGTAACTATAAAGCATTATATAAAACATACACTACTGTCATTATTAGCAGTAGTGGAAGAAAGACGTAGTTTAAATACATTTATAGCAGCATAATTCTCCTATTATGTTTTGTTTAAATAAACATTCACACACTTCAGAGTTACAATATCACATTCCAAGGTAAACTGAACCAGCATTTAAAAACTATGCCCAGATACTATCTTTATTTGGTCTACCTAGTTTCTCTGCATTTAGCTGTGACTCTACTCCCCAAACCAGTTTGTTCTCCTAATCATGGGAGACCCCTCCAGGGGACTTACTGATTCTGAATCTCCAAGGCCTGGGAATCTACAGTTTCTAACAAACATCCCAAAATGTTCCTTATAGACACTTGAAAACTACTGCCATAGGACTTACTTCCTCCTAGGCAAACCTGCCATAAGTACAAGCATTGAAAACTGATGACTAACATTTTTTTCAAATCCATCTTGGTGAGAATTTGTTGGTGTGATAAGACATTAACATCAGACCAAAACATAGGTAAGATGCTCCTTTCAAAATGTAAGCAGCTGGACTGCTAAATCATTACATTATTACATTATCCATTTTTCTCCCCTCAAGAAAAAAGAGCTGCTCAAAAACTTGCACTTCACAAAACCATTTAGAGTCTCAAGCAATCTATTACAAGACTCCTGACAGGAAATCTCTAAATAAATACATCAAAGTATTACAAGCTGGCATTTAGACTCAAAGGTAAAAGCTACCACCTCCACAAAATCTTAAAAATATTTAGGAGACAAAAGGTAATGAAAAGAAAAAAAAAGAGAGAGATGGATGGAAACTCTTGGAATATAAAGTGAAAAAAATAAAATAAAATAAACCTGTCCTTACTGCATTCAGCAGAATTGAAGGTTTTTCTTTTTTTTTAATTGTTTCATATTTTAAACTATTATTTTTTCTAAATTTTCTTTCTTAGAGGTGCATATATTCACTACTTTCTGCTTTGTACGGTCTGTGCCACAACCATCATCTCTACCACTCTAACATTAAAGTGAGACAGGGCAAGCTAGGGTTATTAGGCAGTTTTTAGGGACAGTGCAGGAGGGGACCTCTGAAGAATTTAGGGAGGCTTCAGAGATAAGGACAACCAAAGAAATATAACCAATTCCATTAGGAAAACAAACACCCCAGGACTACGAATAATATTAATACTGTTAAAGATGGTCCTGGTTTCCTTCAGGTGGTAAAGGGAGGCGGAGATTGGAGAAATGGAGAGTGGTTTAATTTATGGACACATTAGAAGGGCAGCTGTTAACTTCAATGCAGGGATGTCCATCCAGAGGACTGGGCCATAAATTTAAAGATGCAACAAATGGGGAAAGAGAAAGCTGTTAGATAAGGAATATGAAGATCCCCCACTCAGTAGCAAATTAAGTGAGACAGCCGAGAACTAACCAATCACAAAGAGACTGGGGCAGCTTTAGAATAATGAGGGAAAAAAGGTATATATTCCCTAAGACACGACTCTACTTTGGCTTCCTTGCCCCTCCCAGGCCTGGTTCCCTGGTCTGGGAGTCCCACTTTATTTCTGTTCTTTTTCTCCTCAATAAACTTTTTCTTCTAAACAAACCTGCCTTTGCTCGCTTGCTTGCCTGAGCGTCTACGGAAGTTCCTGCTGCGGCTTCCTGAGACACCAACCCGTGGGGGGTCTAGCGGCTGGGACTCAGCGCTGCCCCTGCAGCCTGGGATCCATTCCTGGCTGGGAGACTAGGCCTGACAATTCCGGTATCAAAAGCAACCAGGTCAATATATAAACAAAAGGGGATGACCATGTTCTGACAAAACAGGACTGGTGACAGGCTAACTTGGCCCAATTACAGCCCCTTTAATAGAGCAAACAGAACAGACTTTAGACTCAGTCAATCAAAAGCCCCTCCCATATATACAACTGCTATGGGATTTGGTTAAATTTTAGCCTCTCTTATTTCTTCAACTATAAAACAAAGATAACAACAACTATTTTGTAGGGTACATATCTGCTATGGGATTTGGTTAAATTTTAGCCTCTCTTATTTCTTTCACTATAAAACAAAGATAACAACAACTATTTTGTAGGGTTGCTGTGGGAATGAGAAATGTGTGGTTGAAACTGCAGTGTCTGGCCTACGGTGGGTAGCCAGTGAATATATTATGCTTACCAAGGAGATATCAGCAGATGCTTAACTAGATTAACTAATACAATCCTCTAATATGTGCACCACCACTCAGAGACTGTTACAGGGCAGCCCCAATATAAAACGGGTTGCCTGGCTGTGGGTCCTCATCCGTGTGCTTAAAAGGGACTTATTAATACTCCACTGCAGGCACACACAAAAGCTTAATAAAAGGTTTACAACAAGGGAAGGGGAAATGAGGAAATATACAACTAAGGAATAAAATAGGGAAATAAAATCTTAAATGCATCCTACCCGATCCGCCGACCTGGAAACCCAATGGCACTCTGAGAGCTGGCCCAGAGCCGCTAGCTGGTGGAGAGTCAAAAGGGAACCCCCCAAGGCCCACGTGTCTGGTTTTATACCAAACCTGGCTGTTTAACTCCACCCTCAGGTCCCAGCAACCTTCCCTTTGGTGGTGATGGGCTTTGTCTTTCCCAATGTCCTAATGGCTTTGGTCTGGAGTCGGGGTGGAGTCCACAAAGCCTGTATAGAATTAGCTCAGGACATCCTTTCCCCCCTAACAAGACCACTAGCCTACAAAGAAAAGAATAAGAACAGCATGTAATACAATCCTCCTGATGAATGAGAACTTTCCCTTTGTTCTTGCTTTCATGAGTGTTCAAAAATTGTTCTCCCTCTTGCTCGTGGGTGGCCCTGCTAGAGCAATGTCAAGATCAAGGAAATGCAATGGCTGTTAAAGGCCTGTGACAAAAATGTAGAAATTAATTTGAAATCAATCTGTAACCAACATCAATAGCTTCTGGTCACACGAAGTCCTTGCCCTCTCCAGAGACAGATGGAACGGAAACATGAAAGTAGCCCCACACCTCTCAGTGGGTTTGCAAAGCAGAGTTTGAAAACCTCTTCAAAAGCCAGCCCAGTCTGGTCTTTGCAATTGATGTCTGTCTCAGAGGAGGGCCAAGTCACCTGGAAACAGCATGGAGATCAAGTACCATTAGACCTAAAGGATGGGTCAGAGGTTACCCACAGCAGACACCTGCAAGAATGTGGATGTGCGGAGTAAGTCAAACCTAAGAGCAGCTTCTGGTGCATGTGTCCATGGCAGAGGCCCTGGAATCACTTCCCTTTATGCTACATCAGAGAAGAGGCAGGCTTCTGCATTCCAGTGAGTTTAACAATCAATTGAAAATTCTTTACAGCAAAACAAGGAGCTCATTAAGAGCTTCCTCTTCTGACATCTGGATGGCTCCTACTCCTCCACAAAGTGCTCAGGAATTAAGCAAGGAGATCCCTCTGCATTTCAAATTCAACTGTAATTGTTGCATGTTCAACAACACAGGGAAATTAAAAAAAAAAAAAATAGTACCTGAATATCTACTTTAGAAAAGCGAAGCAGTATGATTGCATGAAAGCCTTCTCTGGAAATAGAATCCACGTGGCAAGGTTCCTATTATCAGCCTATAACATATTTCCTCCCTGCTAGTACTCCCCACCTGACTACAGAGACCCAGAGAATGTCTATCTACTCAAAATAAAAACTCCCACTGCTCACCCTACAACCGGACACTTCTGGGCTTAACTTGCTCATACAGGCATCTCCTCATACAGGCTTCAGCTGAGGGACAAACCAACTGTCAAGATAATCCTCAAGAAGAACATGAACTCAATGGGAACCTTCCAACTCTTTCCCAACTATGTATGTCAACGTTTTATTTCCCTTTGTCCTTAGTAACATCTTTGTCCTTTCCTCTTAATCATTAATTCTTCAAAAACCATCCAGCTGTTCCATTAGATAGACATTTAATGAACTTGATGGAGGACAAGAATAGTGGGGGCAGAAGAGATTAGCATAACCACTGACATAGTTGTGGAAACTAGTATCCTGAGGCATGGTCTAAAGATATGGAGATTGAGCCCATTGTGGAATCTCCAGGCCC